TCTATCTATCTATCTATCTATCTATCTATCTATCTATCTATCATGATATTACTAAATTATCAGGGCTCATGATTGATACATTTTTTAGTCACTTTCAGACATTGATAATTTGCTTGTTTTTTTTATTGCAGTGCAAATTTAAGTTTGCATTCAAACATGAAGACACTAATCAAAAAGCTGAAGGGATGGAGCTTTATGTTTCTACTTTGTTTGATCAGAATGCAGTTTCCATGTACTGTCGGCTGGGCTTTGCCGTGAAGAAAGGTCCGGTGTTCAGCTCTGAGCAGCTCCACCCCACCTGGAAGAACGCCCCGTCCGTCAACAGACTCAAGTATGTGCCGATTTCTCTACTTGAACCATCTTTTTTCTGCCGCCGTGGTCCAGTCTTTACCATTGTCTTGTTCAAGCTTAAGACTCCTTGTTCAGCAGAAATTTCCTCTCTTAGTCAAACTAAATTAGAGACATTATCACTACCACTTATTTTAGACCTATATATATACATATAGTTACTTATGTATATATTTATCTATATTTACTGAGTTGAATTTTGTGTGTGTATCTATATATATGTATAGACATGTATATATTTATATGCTGTTGTTTTATTTATGGAGCTAGTATCAAAAATAATTTCCCTCTGGGATTATTAAAGTATTTCTGATTATGATTTCTGATTCTGGTATCATTTACTTGAGGATTCAGACCTTCGTAACAACAAAGGTTACATTTGATGGCCTCTGAAATTTAAAATAATAATATTGTAAATCCAATGACATCCATTGAGCTGGGGCAGGTGTTTTTTTATGGTAAGATGTGGTCTATGCTTTGTTGTAGGAGCACCATGGACCCCCAGAAGATGCTTCTCTCCTGGGAGCAAGGCAGTCCCGTCATGGAGGGAGGCTCCTCGGCCACAGACACCGACACCACCAGCCTGGAAGACCAAGGTCTGTCTGTCTGTCTTTCCTCACTCGCTCGCAGACGCAGACAGGTAAATTCTGCCACGTGTGCAGATAATTACACGCGCTGTGCACACGGGGCACTTTGTGATTGCTACTTCAGGAGTTGGAAGCAGCAGCGCTAATTAATCCCCAAGAAAGCTCCGCCGTGCTTCCGAAAGTCACTCTGACATTAAACGTGTTTGTCTAAAACGGTCTCATCTTTGGCTAATTTTAATTGTGTTATGCATATTAGGCTGGTAGCAAACGAAATGGTATCAGAGTGGCTGTTGTTCAACCACATTTACATGCAAATCAGTGTGAATGAGCCCGTTTGGGAAACAGAGTTTGTGTTTTTCCCTTTAAAGGAGACATATTATACCCTATTTCAACAAGTTAAACTAGTTCCCTGGTGTCCTAATGTAATGTCTGTGACAAGCTTTGGTCAAAGTCCCATAACGATGAATCCCAATAGCAGTTCAGCCCCCCTGCCTAACCCTAACCCTAACCCTAACCCTAACCCTAACCCAAAACAGCCCCGTTCAGAGCGCTCGCTTTGGAGTGCCTGTCTCTTTAAATGCAAATGAGACACAGGCAATCCACCCACTTCTTCCGGGAGGTGTGCCCACGTCGGCATGCTAACGCTACCATGCTAACGCTACCATGCAAACGCTACCATGCTAACGCTACCATGCTAACGCTACCATGCAAACGGGGGGGGGGGGGGCAACATGCAGCTGAAAGGCTAGAATATTATAATGAGCTAGAGCTAATGACGTCAGAAACTACACAGTCTCAAATGTACATAATCAAATGATTAAAAACTTGGTTTTGCATAATATGTCCCCTTTAAACACATTAGATTCATAGATATAATTTGCCACAATCGACATCGAAGAAGGCTGATTCACATTTAACTGTGATGTTACATTTATTCTAACATGCATTAAGGTAACTGGACGCAGTTATTCAAACTTCCCATGTTGGATTCACATGTATTTGTGTCTCTGCAGGAGACACGGCGAGTGTCAGCAGCCTGAGTATTCCAGTCGCTCCCACTAAGAGGATCGCCTTCCTCTTTGACTCCACCCTCACAGCCTTCCTGATGATGGGCAACCTGTCACCGGTTCGTGGACACAAAACACAA